CTCAATGAGGAAACTGTGAACTCCCTGAGGGTAGGCCTGACTTCTTTCTGTTCATACCTATAGAGTCTAGCACATGCCCAACACATATAGACACACAAGTGATGCTTGGTGGGTGGGTGAATGGATGGATGGATGGATGGATGGATCTAGCATATGCCCAACACAAAAATGATGCTTGGTGGATGGGTGGGTTGGTGATTGGATGGATGAATAGATAGATTAATAGATGAATGAAGGGATGGATTAATGGATGGATGAATGGGTAGATGGGTGGGCGGGTGGATGGATGGATAGATGGATGGGTGGATAGATGAATGAATATGTGGATAGATGGATAGATGAATGAAGAGATAGATTAATGAATGGATGAATGGGTGGATGGGTAGATAGATGGGTGGATGGGTGAATGGATGGGTGGATGGGTGAATGGATGGGTGGGTGGGTAGGTCAGTGGATGGATGGATGGATGGATGGATGGATGTAAGGATAGACTGGTAGATGGACAGACAGATGGGTAAATAAATGTGCATTTATATGTCCCAGGCATGAAGGTAATACAGATGCAACTTCCAATGGATAAAAGAAAGAAGTAAAAAGCAAACACCAAACCTTTCCCAACCCCCTCTTCTTTCCTCAGAAAATGGTTCCCCCTCGCTGCTGCCACAGCCCTTCACTATTGCTCTTCTGTCCTGCAGGATAATTATCCCCTGCTAGTCTGCCTCCCAACTCAAGATATTTGAGCTCCGCCAAGGCAGAGACCATGTCATGTTTTACTTTGAATCCCTGGCACTTGGTACAGATCCTAGCACAAAGCAGATGCCCAATGAATGTTGAAAAAAATCATTATCAATAGGACACGTGACAAACTGGGAGGACAAGATGAAGGAGAGACAAGGAAAGTCATAGAAGGCTGGAAGATATAAAACAGCCCAAGGACTGGGAGGAATTACCTCCACTTCCACTATGGAATTCCGAGGCCATCCCAACCTCAACTCTCTCCCAAGTCTCTCTCAACTCCCTCCCACCATCACCCTGAGACTAGGCAGACCAAATGGCTCAGAAAAGACGGTCCCCATACCCACCATATCCTCTCAAACTGAGCTCCCCTCCCTACCACAGGGGTGCCCACCCCCAGCTCCACTCAAGGAGCCCACCTTTGAAAGCATCATCAAGGTCCTCCTTCCCAAAGACAACCCCCAGGTCGTGGATGGCACAGGTGTGGAACTGCACACGGAAGATGACGTCTCGAGCTGGGCTTCGGAACTTCTTGTGGTAGCACTTCAGCTGGGTGGAAAGATGGACAGAGCCAGTCAGGGGCCTAAGGCCGGGAGGTCAGGTCCCAGGGAGCCGCCTTATCAGCTCCACTGACTGAGCCCCCGAGGCTCACCCCAAACCCAGTGAGGGAGAGCTCATCAACACCAAACAGGATCTCAGAGTTCTGTGGGGAAACATCTAGAACAGCAGGGAACTGGAGGCCAGTCTTGGCCTTTGGGGACAAAAATGTCCTCCCAAGAAGTTACTGCATACAAGTCAGAGTGCAAAAAAGTAAGATGGATTTAGGAAGGACTGAAGTTAGGATTCAGAGGGTCATTGTCACCAATCAGAAGCCAGGAGGTAACAGCTCACACTGAGTGCTATTTCCCTGGAGATGCTCCAGAACAATAGCTAAGCCCAGGGTAAGAGACACAAACTGTGTGAGACTGGAAGGTCTTGCAAGAGCCCTGAGAGCCTATGGTTCCAGGCCTGGCAGCCCAGGAGGAGTAGCTGTCTTGAGGCAGAAAGGGAGAAGAGAAAAGAAGACAGAAAAAATAAACAAGGATAGGGCTTTAGACAGAGGGACAGCACTCACCAAGATGTCTCCCTTCAAGAGCAACCCTGGCTCAATGGTAATGCAGACGCTGGTCTGGCTGTCTCCTGGGATGTTGCTAATGGAGAGAGGCAGGCAGAAAAAGAGGGTTGCTGGAGGGGAGATGAGGAAGGGGTGTTTTCTCCCTGCTGCCCCTATGCCACAGGGTTAGTGGGAAACCTCGCTACTGTCCTTTCATGCCTCTTGAGAAAACTCTCTCCTCTCCCCACCCTCCTGCCCTGGTCCTTAGCCCTGGGCCTTGAGCATCCCTGGCCTCTTATTCCCATGTAATACTTACTAGATGCCAGACGTGTACACAGGTTGCATGGCCTGGTAGATGCGGAGAAATGGCCGACATCCTATAAGAGTAGGGTGGGTGTTAGCTAAGACAGCAGAAACTGACAGGTAGGAGGGGCAGAGGTGAGAGTGAAGGGAGAAAGAGAGAAAGGAGGGATGAATGATTGGGTAGATGGATGGGTGGGTAGGTGGATGGGTGGGTAGGTGGATGGATGGATGGATGGATGGGGGAAGAGAGGTAGAAGGGGAAGGAGGAAAAGAGGAAAGAGAAAAAGAGGAAGCAGAAAGGGGAAGAAATACCATCTTTTCACTTGTAAAGCAATTTAAATTATAAAAACATTGCCCACCCGACATCATTGGCCAGCAGGCACTGCAAATATCAAACCCATTTTGCAAATGAATAGATTGGGGCTTAGAAAAGTTCAGGAGGCAAAGCACTTGAGAGTCCAGTGGAAGCCTTATGACTCCGCAGCTCTCGTGCTGTTTGTTACTATCCACAGCTGCCTCTTAGATGAGAAGATGGAAGATGAGAGGGAGGAGTTGGCAGGAGTGGAGGACAGAGGGCTCAAGGCAGGTACCTCCTTTAGACTCAAAGTTGGGGATGCCGTGCATGATCACATGGTGTAGAAACAAGGGCTTGTTGTTCATTTTGATGGAGCCAGAGAGTAGGCCGCTGAAGTAATGCACGTACCTGTGGCGGTGGGAGAAGCAGCTTCAGGGAGAGAGGTCTGTGCTGACGCAGTCATCCCTGTTCTCTCTTCTCCAAGCGCATTGCCCTAGGCTGCTCACCGACTGTACCCTCTCCCCAACCAACATGATCCCCTCCCCAACCAGGCCCCCCTCCCAGACCTGCCTGCCTGCCTGCTGGGAGCCCCAGGTAGGAAGAGAGCAGGGATGCCAGACCTAGAGCTGGGTCAAGCCAAGCATCCCACTTGGAGTTTGCTACCGCCCTCTGGTGGTCAACATGAACATCTCTTTCCTACTTCACTCCCAGCCCAAGTATCTCCTGCTGGACCAAAATTTCCACCCACATCCCTGACAAGCATCATTTAGCTGCACAAGGCAGACCCAACCACCAAGCAGCTAATGAGAAAACACACAAAGCTCAAACCAAGCTTGCGCTTATACTCACAGCCCCAGTTCTGCCCACAGATCCAGCAGCCACAAGTGATAGTCTAGCAAATAGTGAGCAAGACTTTTAATAAATGTAGTTTTTCACTTTCTCTATATCACACTAAAGTACATGAAGTCCCTCGGTATCCTTGAGTTTATTTGGTATTTATATCTAGTTTCTAATAAGTATTCCTATCTCGAGGGTCAACATCCCCCAATTCTTTAACAAAGATCTGCTGGAAGAATGGAAGGACTGGCTCACACCCTCTACTTCTAGACAGAGAGGATAAATAAGGTCCAGAAGGGGCCACTGCACTCCAGAGACACACAGCAAGAACACACAAAGCTGGGAGTGGGTGGCGAGAGCAGGAAAGAAATCTGGGCTCCAATGTATCTGCCCAATAAACTAGAGATCAGTCCTTCTGTGTCGATTGGTCAGCACTTTCCCTTTTCAGATTGGCCAGGGAATGCCAAGCTGAGGCAGCTAAACCAATCAGAATGTATTCTGATGCTCTGCAGAAGCCAATAGCAGCTGTTTGAGGAGGGTGGAACTAGAACCCACATGACCATGATAAGACCCCCTCCTGTCTCTAGGCTCCTTGGCCCCCCTCCAGGCCTGTGGGCCTCTGTCCTTGGGCTTGGGTGGGGCCTCTTCAGACTACTCAAGCAAGATAATCTGATGGGCAGCACCCGCTCCTATTCAGGCCCCTGCCCAGCCCCCTGCCCCATTACTCAAGCCGGAAACCTGGAATAGCGGTTCCTATCAGATCTCTGGATCACGCCAACAGGATGTGTCTGTGTTCTGGGGACAATGAGTCCGGGGGCGGGTAACAATGAATGACAGATCTACAGGCAAAGCCCTTCCCTCTCTCTTTCCCTGCCCTCCTCTGCTCCATCTGCTCCATTCTCTGCAAGTGACACTGACAAGAAGGCAGGAAAGTGGCAACAAATGCATAGTAAATCCACAGTTGCATTTTCACATCTGGGCTCAGAGAGGTGACCTGCCCACAAGCAGAGGCAGTGTCAGATAGGAGACAGGCAGACACTGGTAATGTACACACCCACAGAGACACGCCCCCAACTGCATGCTATGCAAACACATATTGAACATCAGGTGATATGGTTTGGCCGCATCCCCACCCAAATCTCATCTTGACTTGTAGCTCCCATAATTTCCTCATGTTGTGTGAGGGACCCAGTGGGAGATAACTGAATCATGGAGGCAGTTTCCCCATCTCGTGGTAATGAATAAGTCTCACAAGATCTGATGGTTTTATAAGGGGAAACCCCTTTCACTTGGCTCTCCCTCTTCTCTTGTCTGCCGCCATGTGAGACGTGCCTTTTACCTTCTGCCATGATTATGAGACCTCCCCAGCCACGTGGAACTGTGAATGCATTAAGCCTCTTTCTTTTGTAAATTGCCCAGTCTCGGGTATGTCTTTATCAGCAGAGTGAAAAATGGACTAATACACCAGGGAATCCCCAGATAATCCTATTCCTGAGAGATGACACTGATCCCCGGCCTCCAGGCCTTCACTGCTCAGCCTCAGAGATGTGACTCTGTGCCCATTCTCTCCAAGCCACACTGTGCCATTGGAACAGCATGCTTCTCTCTTAGTAACCTTATCCTTCAAGGTCAAAGGCCACACCATGATCACGGTGAGCAGACACACATGACAAGCCAGAGACTGAGAAGGCAGTGCTTGACCAATCATTCTTTCTTCCCTGGGAAGACTCTCATTGATCCATGGCTGCTGTCGGGGACCTAGCCAGAATTGTCTGCACATAAAGACATCCCATTTCTGATTGCTGACTCTGAGGCTGGCTAGCAACTGTTTTGTGCTAACCGTAAGATGCTGTATTGCCTGAAGACTCACTTCTTGGGCTTCCCATTATAAGGGTGGGGATAGGCCCCACCAGGGACAGCACAGTTCCTGTCAGCCAAGCAAGGTAGGGTGATGGGGTATGTGTTGGGACCCTCAGCATGGTGAGGCTGGAGAGCTCGAAGATCTGCAGCTCTAGGCCCTTGTTGGCCCAGTCAGTGTGTTCAGGCTAGAAAGGCAGACAGGATGCTTTGGCCTCTGGGCCCTTGCATTCGGTGCTATCCCTCTGTATCCTTCACCCCAGGCCCTCCCCTGGAGGCTTTCTTCTCCGCACCCAGATCTCACGTTACACGTCACCTTCTCAGAAGACCCTTCCCTTTGAATCAGCCCTCTTGCCACCCCCACCACTCCCTAGCCCTCGTGGTTTGCTTTTTTCTTCGCAGCTCTCCTGTCTATCTGGATTGTTTCCTTGTGTGCGTATCATCCACTAGAAGCTGAGCTCCATGAACCCTTGCCTGGCAGATTCAGCACCACATCTCCAGTGCGTAGAACGGTGCTGACATTACAGCAGGTGGCAGGCCCACGACTCCCAGCAGCAAACGGAGCTACCGTCCAGATCTCCAGCTTGGGCTTGGGTTTCCCACCACCCTGGCTGCAGCCTCCCCTTAAGACCACCTGCCCCTGATGCTGCCTGTGCCTTCCCGTGGATATCATTGAGCAACATGTCATATACAGAGCAAGATCCCTCCGAACAGGGGATCCCTCCGGACAGGGGGTCACACAACCAGGGGGCACTGCCCTAGCCCAGGCATTGCCAGGCCTTCATGTACTTTCCAGTTCTGCCACTAATCGCTATAGACCGTGGCCATGCCCCCTGCCTTGGCCCAGCTTCTCATCTGCTAAATGGGATGCCTAGATCGTCACATGATAGCTCACCATGATTCCAGTTTAGGCTCAAATTCACCTCCTCTAAGAGGTATTCCCCGACCATCCCCATTAAAAGAGCCCCATTCCCCTCCTATCAGTTTTCGGGTCTGCAGTGCCCTATTCTCTTTGTTTTCTATCCTCGTCACTATCTGACATTGTCTTGTTTGTATGGTTATTTGTTTCATGTCCATCTCTCTCATTAGATATCAGCTCGCCAAGGGAAAGGACTCTGTCCTGTTTGCCTAGATGTCTCAGTGCTTGGAGCCATAGTAGATGATTTAAATGTTGCTGAATGAATAAATCTATCCCTGCCCTGCATTCCGCCTGGGCTATTGTGAGACTCCAATGAGATCATGTGGTTGAAAGCTCTCAGTAAAACTATCTAAACTCTCCCAACAGAAGGTGACCCTTATCGTGAGTCTCTGACCTCCCACCGCAGGAGGCAGTGACGCAGTCTCCTGTAGACTCATCCAAGCACTGAAGCAATCCTGCCTCCAAGGCCCAAACAGCACACACCTTCCTATACCAGCACCTTCTTATCCCCAGACCGATGCTTCCCCACGACAGTTGCACTGCTCCCTAGCACAGGCCTCAGAGCCAACTGCCATGCCAACCCAGGGGCACACACCACAGGCTGGCTCCTGGGCTCTCCTGTGTGCCTGAGCTCATACCATTGCAGGCTGGCATCTGAAAACATGTGCCTGGCACACCCCCACCTAGTCACAGCTATCCCATCCCTGTGGGTACACTAGTCTAGTCCCCACATAAGTGAGTACACACATACATGTGAACCCCAGAGACCCACCTTCTTTGGGATGGCTGGCCAATGGGCACAATCTTATCCTCATAGAACCGTTTCATTGCAAACCGGTCCAGAGCCTGGTCTGCGCTGCAGGGAGAGACAGGTGGTCAAAAGAGGCAACTCCTGTGTCCAAGAGCCCCTTGTTTTCCCCACCCCTGCTCCCTCAGACCTGCAGAGCCCTCCAGCCAGCCCTTGTCCTAGAGGGCAGACAAGCCTCTTACCCCTACCGTCCCGTGCTGAGAAGCTTTCAGGAAAAGAGTGCTTCAGCATCTGTCCATCCCGTGTGGGGCAGGACTCAGCCCAGGGCTTTAAAGCTCAGCAGCCTGGGAGCCCATCTCAGGACTACCACTTATGAGCCCTGTGTCCTGGTACAACTTCCTGAATCTCTCTGAACTTCATTCTCTTCACCCATCAAATGAGAGTGAGAATTGCCCCCTTCCTCAAAAGTGACTATGGAGATGAAGTGAGGGAACATCCATAAAGAGCTTGGCACACGTGGCACATAGTAGGGATACAGGAGTGCAGTAGGGGTACAGCCTCATCTTTGCACATCATTAAGCAAAGATGAGACTGGCTTGGGTTGCTCAAAGTCCTAAAACTACAGCAGGCCCTCCACAGAATATTCTACCCATCCTCACAGAGCTCTCAGAGAAATTGCTTTGAAATGAAAAGATCACAAGTCTCCAGTGAGTTCCCATCACCCTTAGAGCAAACTCCAAAGTCCTCAGTGAGGCCACGAGGCTCCATGGCTCTGCCATCTCCCAGCTTCCCTTCCTCTTCCTCCCCCACTTGCTGATCTTCAAACACCCCAGCCCCTTGCATTCCCATCCTTCCTCTTCTCTCAGTGTGCAGGGCTCATCCCATAGGCTTGACATGACTCGCCCTTTCCATCCTGGTCACTCAGGTCTCTGCTCCAGTGTTGCCTTGTCAAGAGGCCTTCTCTGACCACGTGCCTGCCTCGACACTGCCCTTCTCAAGTCCCTTTACTCTTCATGATAATTATCACCTGCTGTTACTAAGGCATTTGTTTACGTGTTTAACGCCCATGAAAGCAGTGGCCTGGCTTTGCCCTCTGCTGCATTCCCAGCACCTAGAACAGAGCCTGGCACAGTGGCTGTCCAATATTTATTGGTCCTTCCTTCCTTCCTTCCTTCCTTCTCTCCTTCATTCCCTCCCTCCCTCCTTCCTTCCTTTCTTTCTTTCCTTTTTTTGAGACAGAGTTTCCCTCTGTCACCCAGGCTAGAGTACAGTGGCACAATCTCAGCACACTGCAACCTCTGCCTGCTGGGTTCAAGGGATTCTCCTACCTCAGCCTCCCGAGTAGCTGGGATTATAGGCACCCGCCCCACCAGGCCCTTTAGTAGAGACGGAGTTTCACATGTTTGCCAGGCTGGTCTCGAACCCCTGACCTCAAGTGATCCGCCTGCCTCGACCTCTCAAAGTGCTAGGATTATAGGCGTGAGCCACTGCCCCCCGCCATATTCCTTGTTAAATGAATAACAAAACAAAGGGGTGAATCCCTCTGCCTCCCTGCAAAGCGGGCTCAGAAAGGGAGTCAGTGACTGGATGATCTTAATTTTTGTTCCAAACACCTAGGTAGGAAGAGGGGCCTACTGTCCAGAGGCAGAGGAATGGATGAGAAATGGCAGAGGAATAACTTCTAATTGTTCTGCCAGCCCAGCTCTGATTTGACATTTCTTTCTGACTCCTTTCCTGCTGGCCCAGGGAAAAAGAAGGCTGTTTGGCAAGGAAAAGTGGCTCTGAGGAGCTGGCTGCACGGGGTGCTCATGACAGGGCCTGCCTCCCAAGGCTGCCCACGAGAGCCCCAGACAGAGAAGTGGACTCTCCTCCCTCCCATCCTCTGTCCACAGGTCCTTCCTCCAAGCTGGGGACCCCTGCACCCGTCCTCATTCCTTCTGTGCTTATCTCCTCACTCCAGTGAACAGAGAGGCTGTGGGTGGATGAGAGGAGGGGGGTCACACTGTCCATGTTCAGGGGATGGGAGGTTGCCGGCCCCTCTTACCTGGCAGAAATGTTGCTGTAGTGCATGTAAGCTGCTATGACAACTCCTATCCTGCCTCGGTTTCCCTGAAAGAGCCACAAAACACAAAAGCATTTATTTCCAAAGCCAGTCCTGCTGCACCAGAGCTTATCTAGAAGCCTTTGTGGAAAGGAGTCGGGGCTGGAGAGAGGGATGTGGATTTAAGGAAGACCATAAGGAGGAAGGGGCCCCAGGGGAGGGAAGCAGGTGGGGGGCTGAGTCTCAAAAGAAACACAGCTGATCATCCATCATCCACTGCCATAGACATAAGCTGATGTCCCCCACATTGCATGCTCACAAAATCCAAAGATACAGGCGGGTACACACAGTCATCTAAGGACACATCCATACACACACACATGCATGCACGCACACACACATACATACACGCATGCACGCACACACACACACACACGCCACAGCTCTGACCTTGTTGTGAAGAACAATGACATTATGGGGGTCTGCATTGAGCCACGTGTCCATGGCCTTACAGATGCTGCAGATCTTCTCCAGGGCTGGGGTGTGGAGGTCGGGCCAGCCAAATTCCAGTACCTGCAGCCCAAGCCATAAGTGAGAAGAGGGCAAAAGCCCTGTAGAGCCAACCAAGCCAGTGGGAGCCGTATACACCACATGCCAGTCCTGGGGGGCGGCCCTTAGTTGCTGGTTCCTGCCAGGACTTGGTTCCTCCCTGTTCATTGGCCAGCGAGTAGGCTGGGGTGTGATGGGCAAAGGCCATGCATGACCCAGTACTAGGGACCCTCGGCCCAGGTCTTGGCCCTGGCACTGACTCACTGTGGGGCCTTAGGCTTCATGTCCTCTTCCAGCCTCAATTTCCCCATATGTGTGTTAAAAATTAAAAAAAAGAAAGGCTTGGAGCTGATGACCTCCAGGTCCCTGCCATAGGACTGACCTGCAATGTACTGAGGCCCCAAGCACTGTCCTCAAGCTCTCCTCCCATGGACAACCCTGAGGCCTGGCTCAGGTGTAGGAGGAAAAAGAAAAGGGCCGCCTGATGTTCATGCCTCTTTTCTAGGCCCTGGACACAAAAACCATCTGCTTTTCAGGCCAGCCAAGAGCAGCCTTAAGGGTGCAAAGGGCAGACCTGGATAGTAGGCATCAGGCCTCTCAAAACCTTTCTAGACTCACCAAGTTTAAAGTAAAAGAGAACTCTGCAAGGGCCCATGGAGCACACCTCATCCAGCCAGGCTACTTTCAGAGGGTGCACTGAGGCCCAGAGAAGCCTGTCACCCACCCAGGGCCACACAGCAGCAGGCACCAGACTCAGAGCCAGGGGCAGACGCCCTTGGCAAAGCCCACATGCAGCCCCTGAGCAAACAGAGTAAAAAGCGGCAGCAGGGCCAGGCGCAGTGGCTCAGGCCTGTAATCCCAGCACTTTGGGAGGCCAAAATGGGTGGATCACCTGAGGCCAGGAGTTTGATACCTGTCTGGCCAACATGGCGAAACCCCGTCTCTACCCAAAATACAAAAATTGGCTGGGCATGGTGGTGCACACCTGTAGTCCCAGCTACTCAGAGGGCTGAGGCAGGAGAATCGCTTGAACCCAGGAGGGGGAGGTTGCAGTGAGCTGAGATCATGCCACTGCACCCCAGCCTGGGTGACAGAGGGAGACTCCAGCTCAAAAAAAAAAAAGAAAAGCAGCAGCAGAAATGTCAAAAGCAGTGATACTCCACTGCTTTAAATCCAAAAACTAAACATCTCTCAACTCCAGCCTCACCCATCAGATTCTGTGTACTCCCCGGTGGGCAGACCTAGGTGTAAAGTCACTGCCCCAAGCTTCATGTTCTGTAATTTGCATTATGGAAACGATAAATAGATCATTTTCCATTTTCCAGACATAAGATGGCACTCTGAATAGGCTTTTCAAACTGTCACAGCATTTTCCCCAAGATTCTTATGTGGGAACCCCGGGGAGGGAGTCCATCTGTCCTCCTTCCCCACCCCCACCCAAAACAGCCGTTGGCTCACCTTGGCGTGAAGCTTCGTGATGTCAGGTCTTCGCTCAGAGAGGTTGAACAGCTAGAAGGAGAGAAAGGAAGACAGCATGAGGAGATGAGGGTGAGGAGGGTGGCAAGGGGAGAGAACCATGGCAAGGAAGCCCGCTGGTCCCAGGAAGGACTGTGGCATCATCGCCAGCTTCCTCTAAAGAGCCCATGACAGCACACAGCAGAGTGCTGAAGTACTCCCACAGCGAGGGTCCTGGCCAGAAACCAGCCATGAGCTCCCTGGACCTCCTGTGCCTGCTCTCGCTCTCTCCCCGACAGGAATTCTATCCATATGTGAATGTGCAGGTGAGTCCTGGCAGATGCACTGCCACCAAGAGGAACTCAACTATAGGTCTTTGGGATGAAGAGGGAGGGAGAGAGAGAGACAAGAACACTCAGCCACCCCGCTTGTGAGCGGATGTCCCAAACGGAAGACGAGAAGGGTTGGAACTGGTCTCTGGTCTCACACGCCTCTCGCCACACTGAACGTGGATCCAGTGGTATAAGATGATAATGAGCTGGCAATCTCTGGTTTCCACATCACACGCTGACTTTAGAACCTCACCCCAAGAGGTTGCAACTTCTCTGTCACCAGACATCCTCCATCAGAGGGGCAAACCATTCTGGTGGGCCCAATCAGCCCCTTCACAAGCCTCTCCCAGCACATGCCCTGCAACGCCTGACCACATCCCATGGAATTCCCCAGTCTCTGGAATTCCTGCCTCTACCTCCGAAGGGGGCATGCAGAACTTCCCACCTCCACTCCACTGCCTGGGAAACTCAAAGGCCACCGTGTTGTGTCC